GCCATCATACCCAGCTAATTTTTGTATTTTTAGTAGAGACAGGGTTTCACCATGCTGGCCAAACTCGTCTCAAACTCCTGACGTTGTGGGCCGCCTGCCTTGGCCTCCGGAAGTGCTGGGATTACAGGCGTGAGCCTGGCCTCCTTTCTTGATTGCTGTGTCATTTTTCTTTCACAATTTCTGTCTAACCTCTCTGATCAGCTCATCTCAGTGTCCATTAACAACTCTCTTTCCTTACTCTTAAACGTCAAAGTTCTTCCAGATTCTACTATAAATGACCTTGTTTTATCCTTGTATTACACTACTATGTATGTGATGAAGACTGTTAAATAACTAACCCTGACTCACTTTTCTCACGAAGTTCCTTTCTCTACACCCTCTTCCTCACCCGCACATGTTCCACCACCATTTTGCCTCCTTCCATTCCTTATGCCTTAACTTTTTTTGTATTCTTTGTCTTGGTAAATGGCATGATTGCCTACGGTTCTTTCAAGTCCCCTACACTGAATCTTTTGGCAAGTCCTATTGATTCTGCTTCCTAAATATTACTTAATCCATTCCCACACCCACATCACTTTTGCCACAATGCTCACGCAGACGCTTGAGTTGCATCTAAACTATGACAGTATCCTCCTTGCCAGTACCTGCCTCTGGTCTCTTACATTCCCAGTTGGCCTCACATTTTTCACTCTAGCAGTACTGAAATATTTGTACTTGTCCAAATTTATTAGGCTTTTGTTTTTTGGAGGTTTGCTTGTCATTTTTCTCACATTATGAATTACAGGGTAATTCATTCCATTTGAGCTACTGAAGAGCCTCAGGATGGGGACTGGTTGCCAGATGACAGTGATGCAGCATCTCTAAATACATTTACTGGGACATGGTGTGAGTCACCATGCCCAGCCTAATTTTTTTTGTAGATTCTACAAAAAAAAGTGTTTCCAACCTTTTGAGTTCCACTGTGGACCCGTATGCTGTCCCTTTCTCCAAATCAGTTGTTAATATTTATTTGTCATTTTTATCACATTGTGTATGTATCTATAGACTTCTAGGTTTTTTGTTTTTTGAGTCAGGGTCCTGCCCTGTTGCCCAGGCTGGAGTTCAGTGGTGCGATCATAGCTCACTGCAGCCTCAAAAGTCCTGGACTCAAGCAATCCTCCTGCCTCAGCCTCCCAAGTAGCTGGGACTACAGGCATGTGTCACCATGCACAGCTAATTTTTTATTTTTTATTTTATTTTTTATTTTTGAGATGAAGTCTTGCTCTTGTCACCCAGGCTGGAGTGCAGTGGCGCGATCTCGGCTCACTGCAACCTCTGCCTCCCAGGTTCAAGCAATTCTCCTGCCTCATTCCCCTGAGTAGCTGGGATAGGTACCCACCACCACACCTGGCTAATTTTTGTACTTTTAGTAGAGACTGGGTTTCACCGTGTTGACCAGGCTGGTCTTGAACTCCTGATCTCAGATGACCTGCCTGGCTCGGCCTCCCAAGGCACTGGGATTACAGGTGTGAACCACTGCACCCTGCCCAATTTTTTACTTTTTGTAAATGTGGAATCTCACTCTGTTGTCTAGGATGGTCTTCAACTCCTGGGCTCAAGCATCCTCCCACCTTAACCTCCCAAAGTGTTGGGATAACAGGCGTGAGTCACTGCGCCCAGCCTTTGTGAAATTATTTTTAATGACCTTAACCAATTTTAAGTGTTCAGTAGTGTTTAAGTGTTTGTGTGTGTGAGTATGTGTGTATATATATATAATTTTTTTTTTTGGAGACAGTCTTGCTCTTTCACCCAGGCTAGAGTGCAGTGATGCGATCTCAGCTCACTGCAACCTCCACCTCCTGGGTTTAAGCGATTCTCATGCCTCAGCCTCCCGAGCAGCTAGGATTATAGGGTGCCACCACGCCCAACTAATTTTTGTTTCTTTAGTAGAGATGGGGTTTCGCCATGTTGGTCAGGCTGGTCTTGAACTCCTGGCCTCGAGTGATCTGCCATGCCTGGTGTGTTAAGTATATTCACATTGTTGTGTGACTGATTTCTAGAATGTTTTCATTTTATAAAACCAAAACTCCATCCCATTAAACAGATCATTTCTCCCCACACTCCTTGTAACCACTATTTTACTTGCTATTTCTATGAATTAGAAATAGAGCAGGATTTGCCAGGCATGGTAGCTCACGTCTAATCCCAGCACTTTGGGAGGCCGAGGCAGGCGGATCACCTGAGGTCAGGGGTTCGAGACCAGCCTGACCAACATGGCAAAACCTGTTTCTATTAAAAATACAAAAATTAGCTAGGCGTGGTGGCACATACCTGTAGTCCCAGCTACTTGGAAGGCCGAGGCAGGAGAATTGCCCAGGAGGTGGAGGTTGCAGTGAGCTGATACCGCACCACTGCATTCCAGTCTGGGTGACAGAGCAAGGCTCCGTCTCAAAAAAAAAAGAGCAGGATTTATCTAGAATAGAGTGGAATCATACTGTAGTTTTTCTTTTAGTGACTGACTTATTTCACTTAGCATAACGTCCTCAAGTTTCGTCCATGTTGTAGCATGTGATGAGATTTTCTTCCTTTCTACCAACATCAGGCTCTCTCATGATTCTAAATTCCTGTTCTCTTTTCTTGGAGTACCAACCGTCTGCTTCTCTCTCTACCAGTCTTCTGTTCATCTGTCAAGTGTCAGCTCTTTGGTGGCAGTGCTTTGATTTCCCAAACATTTCAGAATTTTTATTCCTGCCACCCTTTCCCCCACACCATTTCACCATGCATGCTTTCATGAAGTAATTATTTTATTTGAATCCTTTGCCTCTCTCCCCATGAAATTCCTTAGCTCTGTAGACAGGAATCAGATCTTTTCATCTTTGTTTTTCTGCATGTCATAATAATGCTTATGATATAGGAAACATTACCAAAAAAATGTGGATAGGCCGGGTGCAGTGGGTCACGCCTGTAATCCCAGCACTTTGGGAGGCCAAGGTGGGTGGATTGCCTGAGCTCAGGAGTTCAAGCCAGCCTGGCCAACGTGGTGAAACCCCAACTCTACTAAAAATACAAAAATTAGCTGGGCGTGGTGGTGCGCACCTGTAATCCCAGCTACTCGGGAGGCTGAGGCAGAAGAATCACTTGAACCTGGGAGGCGGAGGTTGCAGTAAGCCGAGATCAAGCCACCGCGTTCCAGCCTGGGCGACAGAGCGAGACTCTGTCTCAAAAAGAATAAAAAGCTGTGGATAGAATAGGTGAGTCGTACGGCATTCTGGATTCTATAGTCCGTAAAAGGAAGATGTGAGAGCTTTGATGTTAAATGCAAACTTCACACTCATCTTGTAGCTTTTTTTTTTTTTTTTTTCACCCAGGCTGGAGTGCAGTGGTGCGATCTCGGCTCACTGCAAGCTCCGCCTCCCGGGTTCACGCCATTCTCCTGCCTCAGCCTCCCGAGTAGCTGGGACTACAGGCACCTGCCACCTCGCCCGGCTAATTTTTTTGTAATTTTAGTAGAGACAGGGTTTCACCGTGTTAGCTAGGATGGTCTTGATCTCCTGACCTCGTGATCTGCCTGCCTCGGCCTCCCAAAGTGCTGGGATTACAGGCGTGAGCCACCACGCCCGGCCTCATCCTGTAGCTTTTAAACTCCAGTCAAGGCCGGGCATGGTGGCTCACGCCTTTAATCCCAGTACTTTGGGAGGCCGAGGCGGCTGGATCACTTGAGGTCAGGAGTTTGAGCCCAGCCTGCCCAACATGGCGAAACCCCGTCTCTACTAAAAATACAAAAATTAGCTGGGCATGTGGCATGCACCTGTAATCTCAGCTACTCGGGAGGCTGAGGCACGAGAATCACCTAGAAGGTGGAGGTTGCAGTGAACTGCGATCATGCCACTGCACTCCAGCCTGGGCAACAGAGCAAGACTTGATCTCAATAAACAAACAAACAAACTCCGATCTATACATGCCTATTGCTGTCATTTGAATTCTGTATTGGCGAAATTATTTACTCTGGAATATTTCTACATGAGTAGACTCCTCCCTATCCAGTGAGAGATCCTCCACTGAAGCCCAGTGTCTTTCAGCTTCTCATTGTGGTTTTTCTGCAGCATAAACTTGAATGTGATTTGCAGCAGAGGGAGGAAGAGATCGCGGAACTGCAGAAAGCGCTAAGTGACATGCAGGTCTGCCTCTTCCAAGAGCGGGAACATGTTTTGCGCCTCTACTCAGAAAACGACCGACTGAGAATCAGGTACCAAACAGGAGAAGGGAAATGTTGGAGTTATAACTTTAAATTACTGTTATTTATTTATTTATTTATTTATTTTGTTTGTTTGTTTGAGACGGAGTCTCGCTCTGTCGCCCAGGCTGGAGTGCAGTGGCCGGATCTCAGCTCACTGCAAGCTCCGCCTCCCGGGTTCACGCCATTCTCCTGCCTCAGCCTCCCGAGTAGCTGGGACTACAGGCGCCCGCCACCACGCCCGGCTAGTTTTTTTGTATTTTTAGTAGAGACAGGGTTTCACCGTGTTCGCCAGGATGGTCTCGATCTCCTGACCTCGTGATCCGCCCGTCTCGGCCTCCCAAAGTGCTGGGATTACAAGCGTGAGCCACCGCGCCCGGCCTATTTATTTATTTATTTTGAGGCAGTCTCCATTGCCCAGGCTGGAGTACAGCGGTGCTATCTCGACTGCAGCCTCCGCCTCCTGGGTCAAGCGATTCTCATGCTTCAGCCTCTCGAGTAGCTGGGACCACGGGTGTGCGCTACAACGCCTGGCTAATTTTTGTATTTTTGTAGAGATGGGGTTTTGCCCTGTCAGCCAGGCTGGTCTCGAACTCCTGGCCTCAAGTGATCCGCCCACCTCAGCCTCCCAAAGTGTTGGGATTACAAGCATGAACCACCGTGCCCAGCCCTTTAAATTAATTTTAGAAAGATGCATTTTTCCACATGAATTCTCTTAGGTTGTATTCCCTAGGAAATGGACTCTGAGATGGAGATTTGCCTTCAGGGCAATTACTGGAGAAGCTCTCTGGAATAATAGCTATGAGCAGATTTGGGCAGAGGTAGAATACAAATGGATACGATGGTAACAGAAGCCTTAGCCAACCCCGTAGGGAGCACCAAGGATAGGGTGGTCTTTCGGCGGCAAAGGATCAGACTTTTGTGTCCCCCCATTGACCAGTCATAGGATGCAGGCTGTCCCCAGGAAGGGGGTGTAAACGTGGGAGAGGAAGCCCCCTTCAGCCAAGTGTAATTTTTAGAGAAGAGCTGAGCTCCTGGGAGATAAATGTCGTGATCATGAGGGGGAATCTGAGCAGTACACTACGTGTTCCGTTACAGTGCATTTCCGTGTGTGTGTGCTGGGAGTGGGAGGGGAAAATACACAGAACCAAAAGTTTACCATTTTAGCCGTCTGAAGTGCACGGTTCAGTGGCATTAAGTATATTCACATTGTTGCACAACTGTCACCAGCGTTGAACTCTAGAGCATTTTCATATTCCTAAACTGAAATTGTATACCATTCAACAGTAACTCCCACCTCCCCGTTACCCCAGTTCCTGGAACACGCCCTTCTACTTTTCGTCTCTATGAATTTGACTATTTCAGGTACCTCACGTAAGAGGAATCATACAATATTTGTTATGTCAGGCTTATTTCACTTAGCATAATGTCTTCAAGGTTCGTCCATGTGGTAGCATGTGTCAGAATTTTCTTGCTTTTTAAGACTGAACAATATTCCATTATATGTACGTACCACATTTGGTTTGTCCATTCATCCACCAATGGATCTCAGCTCACTGTAACCTCCGCCTTCCAAACTGAAGCGATCCACCCACCTCAGCCTCCTGAGTAGCTGGGACTACAGGTGTGTACCAACATGCCTGGCTAATTTTTTTTGTAATTTTTGTAGAGACAGAGTTTTGCCATGTTGCCCAGGCTGGTCTCCAACTTCCAAGCTCAAGTGATCTGTCTGCCTCAGCCTCCCAAAGTGCTAGGATTACAGGTGTGTGCTACTGTGCCCGTCCGAGACCTTACTTTTAATTCTTTTGTGTATATACCCAGAAGTAGATCATATGGTAATTCTGTTTTTGTGTTTTTGAGTAACTGCCATGCTATTTTCTATAGTGGCTATACTGTTTTATATTCCCAACAGCAGTACACAAGGGTTTGAGTTTCTCCACATCCTTACCAATACCTGTTATTTTCTTTTTTTTTTTCCTTTAAGCCTTTTTTTTTTTTTTTTTTTTTTTTTTTGAGACAGGGTCTTACCCAGGCTGGAGTGCAGTGGCATGATCTTGGCTCACTGCAGCCTTTACCTACCTCCTAGGCTCAGGTGATCCTCACACTTCAGCCTCCAAGTAGCTGTGACTATGTGCATGTGCCGCCATGCCCAGCTATGTTTTTTTTTTTTTTTTTTTTGTAGAGGCAAGGTTTCACCATGTTTCCCAGGCTGGTCTCAAACTCCTGAGCTCAAGCAGTCCTCCTGCCTCAGCCTCCCAAAGTGCTGGAATTACAGGCATGAGCCACCGTGCCTGGCCAACACTTGTTATTTTCTGGGTTTTGTTTTTTTGGAGACAAGGTCTTGCTCAGTCAACCAGGCTGGAGTGCAGTGGCATGATCACAGCTCACCGCAGCCTCAACCTCCCAGGCTTTGATGATCCCCCAACCTCAGCCTCCTAATTAGTTGGGACCACGGGTGTGCACCACTGTGCTTGGCTAATTTTTGTGTTTTTTGAAGAGATGGGGTTTCACCGTTTTGCCCAAGCTGGTCTCAAACTCCTGGGCTCAAGCAATTTGCCCACCTTTGCCTCCCAAAGTGTTAGGATTACAGGCTTGAGCTGCTGTGCCCAGCCTTATTTTCTGTTTCTTTGATAGTAACCGTCTTACTATCAAATAAACAGAAACACCTTACAGGTGTGAGGGAGTCTCATTGTGGTTTTGATTTGCATCTTAAAATCTTGAGCGTCTTTCCTGTGCCGTTTATATATCTTCTTTGGAGAAGTATTGATTCGGATCTTTTGCCCATTTTAATAATTGGGTTGTTTTTGTTGTTGCTGAGACAGGGTCTCGCTCTGTTGCCCGGGCTACAGTGAGTGGCGTGATCATGGCTTACTGCAGCCTCTGTCTGCCAGGCTCAAGCTCTCCTCCCATGTCAGCCTCCCGAGTAGCTGGGACTACAGGCATGTGCCACTACGCCTGGCTAATTTTTGTATTTTTGGTAGAGTCGGAGTTTTGCTATGTTGCCCAGGCTGGTCTCAAACTCCTGAGCTCAAGTGATCCTCCCACCTCACCCTCCCAAAGTGCAGAGATTACAGATGTGAGCCACGGTGCCTGACCATAGAAGTTCTTTATATATTCTGGATACTAAACCTTTATTAGACATACAGATACATGCAAATATTTTCTCCCATTCCATAGATTGCCTTTTTATTTTCTCCTTTTTTTTTTTTTTTTTTTAGAGGCAGGGTATCGCTCTGTTAGCCAGGGTGATCCTCCTGCCTTAGCCTCGGGAGTAGCCGGGACTATAGGCATGCACCACTATGCCTGGTTAATTTATTTTCTTTTTTTCATTTTTTTGTAGAGACAGGAGGGTCTCACTATATTCCTCAGGCTGGTCTTAAACTTCTGGCCTCAAGTGATCCTCCTGCCTCAGCCTCCCAAAGGAATGAGCCACCATGCCGAGCAAGGCGTTTTTAATTTTATGAAGTTCAATTTATGTATTTTTTTTCTTTTGTGGCTTCTGCTTTTGGTATCACATCGAAGAAATCATTGCCAAATTCATTGTCAGGAAGCTTTTCTCCTATGTTTTCTTCTGAAACTTTTATTATTTTAGCTCTTATGTCTAGGTCTTTGATCCATTTTGAGTTAATTTTTGAATATAGCGTTAGGTAAGGTTCCAACTTCATTCTTTTGCATGTGGATGTCCAGTTTTCTCAACATCATTTGTTGAAAAGACTTAGCCACGTGGTTTCTTTTTTTTTGTTATTATTATTATTTTTTATTTTGAGACAGGATCTTGCTCAGTCACCCAGGCTGGAGTGTAGTGGCATGATCTCCGCTCACTGCAACCTCTGCCTCCCAGGCTCAAGTGATCCACCTGCCTCATCCTTCCAAGTAGCTGGGACTACAGATATGAGCCAACACACCTGACTAATTTTTGTATTTTTTGTGGAGACAGGGTTTTTCCATATTGCCCAGGCTGGTCTTGAACTCCTGAGCTCAAGCAGTCCGCCCTCCTCAGCCTCCCAAAGTGCTGGGATTTCAAGTGTGAGCCCCCGTGCCCAGCCTCACCACATGGTTTTTTTGGTGTCCCGCCGTCAGGTGCTCCATTTTTAGCAGGATCTAGTAGCATGGCAGAAGCTGGTTTTCAAATGTGACGTCATTCTCAGCTGTAGACGGCGTGGTCTTGCGGCAGATTCTCAGGGTCTGTCACGATTCTTGTAGTGTTGCTTGCCGTAAACTCCGGTTGGCACCTTGTGCCACCACAGACACCATAGGATCTGCCGAGTTACATGTCCCAAGCCGCAGCGCGTCCTTTCAACCCTGGGCCGCGCTGAACGCTGGCCGTCTGTGTCAGTTGGTACGTGGGTCAGAGCAGTGTTCCAAAATACGGACGGTGTTGTCTTCGGAGCCTGAAGTCTCCTTTCAGGCATTATGCTTCCTTCTCGGTGTGGCAGGTACCAGATGAAATAATTTGATCTTTACTTCGGAGGGAATATCCTGGCATGCCTAGATCACAGCCTTGAAGACTTGACTGATGTGCTTCGTAAGGTTCATCTCCAACCCTCTGGAGCACACGTATCTTCCCAAAGGTTCCAGTGCACTTGCTGTTTCTTGTTCATGCAGTCTGATTAAGTGCAATATCATCAGTAGTGAGCTCCTGGCGATCTGTGGAGTAGCCAGATCCAGATTCTTTTTTGTTTGTTTGTTTTCATTTGTTTGTTTGTTTTTGAGATGGAGTCTTATTCTGTCACCCAGGCTGGAGTGCAGTGATGTGATCTCGGCTCACTGCAACCTCTGCCTCCCGGATTCAAGTGATTCTCCTGCCTCAGCCTCCCGAGTAGCTGGGACTACAGGTGTGCATTACCATGCCCGGCTAATTTTTGTACTTTTTAGTAGAGATCGGGTTTCACCATCTTGGACAGGCTGGTCTCGAACTCCTGACCTTGTGGTCCACCTGCCTCAGCCTCCCAAAGTGCTGGGATTACAGGTGTGAGCCACCGCGCTGGCCCAGATTCTTTTACACTGTATTGACAGAGAGTAAAAGCATTAACATGGCCTTGGGAAAGACTATAAACGTACACCGTTGTCCACATCACATGATGTGAACTGCCTCTGGTCTTTTGAGGGGTAGGAAGGAATGCATTTGCCTAATTACTCACCACTTACCATGTGCCTGAGACTAAGTATTTCTGTTCTAGCAAAGGTCCTACACCTGGCACCATGCCTGAAACTGGGGCCTACTTGGTGGTAGTCTGCTGCTATCCCCAGAATCCACCTGGTTTTGTATAGGCCATACTGAGGAATGAAACGAGGCTTTGGTAAGGACCTCCACCGCTACATTCTTCAGGTCTTTATTGATCATCTTGACTGGGTAGGGAGGGGCAGTTTCAGAGGCTTTCACTTAGCTTACCCCCGAAGCCAAGAAGCTAATTTGGAGGTACTGCCCCCTACCTCGTATGTCCATTTTAATCATTTGGGAACTGAAGAAATGAACATTGATTTGGTGGATCCCATAGACCTGCTGTGAGCTGGACGTGCCCAAATTCCATTTATTCCACGGTCCCCACATGCCCCAGTGCCATGATGATGCTTCAGGTTATCTGGTATCAGTGTCACCTTAGACCCTGTATCCAGCAATCCTTAAAATGCCCAGGTCTTTCCTTTTTCGCAGTATGTAGTTACTTGAATAAATGGCTGTAGACCCTTTGGAGGATGTGGGGAATCATTAGCATGAATATCTACTCTGTGGTGTCACAGGGTCTTACCTTCTAGGAGTTCGAGCCTCTTCTTTAGGTAATTGTCACTAGGACTTAAAACTGACTTGAGGCCGGGCGCGGCGGCTCACGCCTGTAATCCCAGCACTTTGGGTGGCTGAGGCGGGCAGATCACGAGGTCAGGAGTCCAAGACCAGCCTGGCCAACATGGTGAAACCCCGTCTCTACTAAAAATGCAAAAATTAGCTGGGCGTAGTGGCACATGCCTGTAGTCCCAGCTACTCGGGAGACTAAAGCAGGAGAATTGCTTGAACTCAGGAGGCGGAGGTTGTGGTGAGCCGAGATGGCGCCATTGCACTCCAGCCTGGGTGACAGCGAGACTCTGTCTCAA